CTGAAAAGATTCATTAAGATGGGTATTTAATCACTCATTTTAATTTATCATTTTAGGCTATGAGTAAATGTATTAAGCTTATATTAAAGCAATGCAAATTATGTCATAATTTACTCCTGCCATGTCAATCATGCCCAAACCTCTGTCTTTTTCTTCTGTAGAGCATGGAAGAAGTTGAACAATATTCTGCACAATTAATGGTGACTGGAGTTTGTGAGTTTCAAAAAGGGCACCATAAAGGATCATAAAAGTGTGCTATATTGCAATAGCTTTGAACAGACTGAAGGTGAAGTTGCTCTGAATCTTTCAGGCTGTCCTTAGAGCATTAACAAGAGAATAAGCAATGCCTGATTCAAGAATCATTCTTTTAAGATATTTTCAGTGAATCAGTTTATCTAATTCACAAAACTAGTCCAAATAATTCACTCACAAATTGACACGATATGGTTGGATGACTGAATAGTCCATTCACAGCAGTTAGCAGCACACTGAAGGGAAAGATTATTAGAGAATGTTTTTTTTTTTTGGTGCCTGGATTCTTTATAAGACTCATTCATTAAGACTGCATTGGGGGAAAAAAATCACTGGTACATCTTCAAAATGTATCTTTTTGTTTTGACAAGTCATTATTTTATGATATCAAACTTACTGTGAGTATACAGTTTACTAGCATGATGTGTGTACATTTAGCACACAGTATGGATGGAAGTTGTCTTCAGTAAGGACACAGATTAATAGGATGGCTTTTTACACACATTTAATCCAGCGAAGCTTATGACTCGTCTTGAGTTATCATTTTAAGAATGTCACATCAATCAAGAATAATGTTTTTCTAAGCCATGAGTGATTTGAGTCTAACTCGCATCCGAGTGATGAGCCATGGTCTAAATCTGGGCTAAATATAATGTTGTATAACAAAAAGAGACTGAATATTATTGGAGGATAAATAATCGGATGTGGAGCTTGTGGTTTCGGTGGTGAAATGACATGTGGATAATTTGTTCAAGGCGGTGGGATGGAAAAAGCAAGCGGACATTTAAATCAGAAAAATGAGCAATGCCAAAATTGCTTTGTAGTGAATATGAAATTTACTCTAGATGAAATTGCTATTATATTCTGTCCTGAAATAGCCAGTGCTCTACGGGAGAATGGTTTAATTTTATTATACATTTCACAAAGAAATTTCTCAGTGTGGAAAATTTGAATAGCTTTTAGGAGTGCATTACAGGGTGTGACAAATTGAATTTGAGGCATCAACAAATACCAAAATATGCCAAAATCTGTTCCAGGGAGAAAAGTGTTCCTGCAAAATTATGGTTTGCAAGTCATACAGTCCTATAGCAAAGATTATATGAAGTCAGAGTGTAATGAGATGGAGAAACTGAATTCACCCTGTAAAACTGACTGTCATATTGGGCTAAAATAGTTCTCTAAAATCATTAAAGGATGGTGGATAATTAGACTAGTGAGGTAGGAGCCAAACCACTGTGCGGTAGTTTTTAAAAGTGAGTGCCACGGCAGAAAGTGCAACCACAGCAGATTGTAGACAGTGGAGAGGAAAATGAAACGGCGGCAGTGCCAAAACCCCAGAAGAGGAAGCGGTCAGCTACGGGTTAGAGACTGTCAGTGAGAGAGAACACAAATGAGACACACAAAAACTAAAATTGAATGACTTAAAGCTGCAACTTCTGTATTTTGGATACTGGATGCAGAGTGAAGATTTAAAAGTCATGGATCACATCCATTGGATATTTTTTTTACCACGCCACAACATATTTATTCTGCATTTTTGCTCAAATATGTTAAAACAACATTTGAAGATATGCTTATAATATCCCGACAAACAGATAAATAAGGCAAAAGTAAATATAAGAGAAGTCTCTTATGCTCACAAAGGCTGCATTTCACAAATATAGCAATATTGTGAAATTATATTACAATTTTAAATAACTGTTTTCTACATATTACACAGGATCCTTCAGAAATCATGCTAATATGCTGATTTGGTGCTGAAGAAACATTTCTTATCAATGTTGAAAACAGTTGTGCTGCTTAATATTTTTGAGGAAAAGTGATACAAGATTTTAAGTTAATATTTCCAAAAAAAATAAAACTGCATTTATTTGAAATAGATAATTTTTGCAACATTTTAAATGTTTTACTGGGACTTTTGATTAATTTCATCCATCCTTGCTGAATAAACCCAACTTTTGAACGGTTGTGTATTAATAATTGAAATAATTGAAATTACATATACAATAATTGTGGTATATATAAATCTGCAGCAAATATTTTTTAATACTGTACATTATACTGTTGCTTAAATTTATATTCGTTTTTAGTTGTATTTATTTTAGTTTATTTAATTATACATATAATTAACAAAAATATTTTTGTCTAAATAATTGTTATATTTATTCTTGCCTTAAAATACAGTATTAGAAAAGCACTTCAGACACACAGAGAGAGAGAGAAATAATTTTAATATGTTTAGTTTATTACTATAACATGAAAGTGAAAGCAAAAGTGAAGTGTGGCCAAGCATGGTGTCCCATACTCAGAATTTGTTTAACCCATCCAATTGCACACACACAGTAGTGAGTAGTGAACACACACACACACACACACACACGGAGCAGTGGGCAGCCGTTTTTGCTGTGGCGCCCGAGGAGCAGTTGAGGGTTCGATGCCTTACTCAAGGGTTTCACCTCAGTCGTGGTATCGAGGGTGGAAGAGAGCGCTCATTCCCCCCCCCCACCTACAATCCCTGCCAGTACCGAGACTCGAACCCGTGACCTTTGGGTTGAATATGTTCCACTGTGTCATCAAGAACACTATTAACTAGCATTAATGGGTTAATAAAGCTCTACTATCCACTCCTCACTATATTCATTATGGCTCTTTGTGATGTGCTGCATTGACCAGCCCTGCTTCAATTCACCATTCACAATGAAACATAATCACTGCTTGTTTTTTATAAATAGCTGTTAGAAAAACATCCCAGATTATTACATTATGATGTTCCTGCATCTTAACTGAATAATGAAGTGAACAAGACTGAGCAGCAGTGTTGGGGAGTAATTAACCAAAAGTAACGACACAACTAAATTGACTACAGTATATTTTTGTAGGTTTTAAGACAAGACACTACAGAAAAAAGGAGAACACCCCCACCCCCCCTCCTTTTTTCAGGAATGATACATTTCGAGATTTTTTTATTATTATTTTTTATTTTTTTGCCTAAGTAACTTGTCCAAAATATACACACATTTTATCTATTTGCATCTGTAAATTTCAATCATACTACATATCTCTAAAGTCCGATTTCTCAAAAAGTTTTTTTTTTCCTTCTGCACATAGTCAGAAATCTGCACTTCAGTAGCACGTGCACACACCAAACTTTAGTCTTATCCTGAAGGTTTTTTAAATAATGGTTTATAATTTGCATGATTTATATTGCATTTTATTCCTAAACAACATGTATGGTGAAAAAAAGAAAGAAAGAATTTTGAACCTACACTGAAAAAAAAATGATGTAGAAACAATGTTAACTCAGAAACTGTAACATTAATAAAACATGACATTTTGAAGAAGAGATACTGAAATAGTATTTTCTTGTAAAATATAATCTGATATCTTACAACTTTTTTTCATTTCGTGTTCAGATTTCTTTTCTGAAAATGTAAAACGTATGCATATTTAATTCGATAATGCATCATATTGCGTAAAGAAAATGTAACAAAATGTGACCAAAAAAAAACATCACCACTCTGGGTTGTACATAAACTGTCTTCTTTCTAATTTGTAGCTTTGGGAAATCTAGATTAATTCTAGTGAACTGGTTCGAATTGTTCATTTGAATGAACAAAATTCCATAAAAACGATTCACTGATTCAAATCCTTGCTCGGGAATTCTGTTCTGTATTATAAATCTTCTTTATTATAGTAAACTATTTAGTTAAATGCTATTGGATTAAAAATGTCCCAAACTTACATTCATTGTTAATTTCAAGGTCTCTGCAAACATGGAAAATCTGAAAATATCAGCAAATAAAATTTAATATGACATATATTTTGTACCCTTTTGTCTTTAATTATTTTATCTTATGGAATATTTAAGAAATATTAAATATTTAAGCTGTCTCTATTACTAGAAATAGATCTTCCTCCCGAATCACTAGAAGAAAAAACAATCAAAGCATACTTCAATAGTCAAATGAGCCAGAAAGATATATAACTCTGATTGCACTACCAAGCATATGACCAGAGACAATTATAAATCCATAAGTTTCACTAAAATTCACACACTTCAGCTTACAGAACTAGCATGTAGCTTAGCACGTCTTAGTGTTAACTACTGGAGGTGCGTTCCATTTTCATTACGGGCCATAATTAGTTGACTAAAAGCCACCATTAAGCAATAAATGACTCTTCTTGATAAAAGAAAAGAGTAAAGGAGGAGGAAAATAGTTTTAAAACAGGAGGACAGAGAAAGATAGCTTGCACTGTCAAAGCAAACTCCCAAGCCTCAAGCCATAAATACAAGCCTTCTTGTCATGCCTTTGATTAAAACACTAGCAATTTATGAATCTCTTTTCATCCAGTTCATAATTCATTAGCCTTCAAAGTAAAAAAATACAGCCTTATCAATATTAATGATATGAGTGTGTTTTGCTTTGAATGCTACTATATCTCAAAGTGAAAATTGCATGCTGTAGTCAGTGAATCTTTAAAATGCATTGATCTCATAAAAAGCGGGAAAGGTCCGTAAATACTACCAGAGGATAAATTAGCCAACAGCGCACTGAGCCGAGAAGAAGACCTGAGAAATCCTTCCATTGCGGTTAGCGGTCATAAATGAGCAGGGAGTTCTAGCTCCGCACGCACATAAGCATAATCACCTTGAAAAATGTTTTGACACCTTCGTAAAAAAGACATCATGAAGACTAACAATAGGTGTAGGTGTAGCAGACGGAAGAAACGGATGCCATAAATCTTACCTTGCGCTTGTTGTTGGGGCTGACATATAGATAGCTGAGGATAATCTTTACGCCCACTTTTTCATTGAGTTTCTCGTAAGTTGTTCCATAATCTGTTGACCTGAAAAGTAAACAGAGGCTTAAATGAGAACTTTGGCAATCAGCTGTTGTAATTAAAGACTGTAGTGTGTATGGAACTGTAGCCAGGGCCGGATTTACCTCTTTTCGTGACATAGGCAAAACTCATTTTTGGGCCCCCCTTCCCTATTAATATAATAGGCCTAATATTACCACCCAAGCAAACAAAAATATATCTTAATCAGTGGAAACCGTTACAGTGTTTTCTATCGCAATAAGCGCTTGCATTCAGTCAATAAAAATCGAAATTTGTTTGAGAACTGAGAAAGACCATTCCATTAATAGGCGCGGCGACATGGCCAAACAACCACTTCGGGAGTGCATTATTTCTCTAATAATTTGAATGGCCTAGAAATCATACATCAACTGTTCGGATGATTTGTTTCAAGACATCTGACACGTTTCCATCCTGAAATCTCGTGCGTATTGAACTAGCAAATTTTTTACACACCTCGTCCCAAACCTTCCATTGCAAATTCCAAAACGTCATTTTAGAGCTAATAACAGATGCTTGAGCCATTGATATGCAGGCTAACGCAGTTATTAATGCAGTCTAATGCAGTTATTAGAGAGAGAGAACGAAAGAGAGAGAGGGAGAGAGAGATTAAGTGTGTGTGAATACTTGCGTCTGTGCGTCTCTCAGCAGTATTCAGCAGCAGCGTCTACTAATAGCTAATCTTTAAGTTGAACTGCTTCAAGAACCTCGCTACTGAGAAATGTCATGTAGCTTTTCGGCTGCAAAACTTTTGTTGATAAGTTCGCGGGGCAGCCGGAGCTCTGACAAGTTTCTACCTGCGTCTCCGTGCGTGTCTGTACTGTGTGTGCGTCTGTGAGAGAGAGCGGGAGAATGAAAACGTGATCAGTACATAAAAAAGGTTGAAGACATGGAAATAGTTTGTCATTTTTACCATATTGTTTGTCATATTTATTTGCTCAATTTCTTCTGGGGTTTTGGTTATTTTACTGTTGTAGATATCCCATAGTATAACAAAAATATTATATATATATCTCTTCATTGTGTTTGGGCGAGCAAGCATAGGCACGAGCCTAGAATGCGTATGCATAAATCCGGCCCTGACTGTAGCTTATTCATGGAAGCAAAGCCTTTTTTAAGTACCTAATTTGATTTAAGGAAGGTAATTACAGGTTTAAGAAATGTTGCAATTTGTTGTAATTACGCAGTGGCCATGACCCTTCACAGTGCCTTCAAAAAGAGTTGGAAGAATCAACCTGATCTTACAATCATCACTATTTTATGACATGGCATTTTCGTAAGAATTTGTTCACCCTTGTGAATAAGAAGTGCACTTTAACAAACATTTATAAAATTTACTTTTATGAAAATAATATACTTTAAAATAATACACTTAAGTGTGAATTAAATGTTTTCACAAACCTAATAGCATATTATTTGTAATTTATTTCAAATGTATTATAGTTTAAATATTAAGAGTGATTTTTGAACCACCTAAGTGGGACTTATATACATCTTTACATGTACTTTCCTAATTGCATCTGTTGTATTTGAAATATGGTTAAAAGGAAAGTTCACCCAAAAATTGAAAATGACCCCATGATTTACTCACCCTAGGTGTATATGACTTTATTCTTTCAGATGAATACAATTGGGGTTATATTAAAAGATGTCCTGGCTCCTCTAAGCTTTATAATGGCAGTGAATGGAGGTTGAGATTTTGAAGCCCCAAAAAGTGTGTCCATCCATCATAAAAAGTGCTCCACACGGCTCCGGGGGGTTAATAAAGGCCTTCTGAAGTCACTCTCCTGTGAACACGTGTAAGACAGTTAGCGGAAGCTAGAGATTACAGTTTATAAAGTTTTAAATATGGATATTTTTCTTACACAAACCCATTGATTCACTTCAGAAGGCCTTTATTAACCCCCCGGAGCCGTGTGGAGCACTTTTTATGATGGATGGATGCACTTTATTTCGCTTCAAAATGTCGACCCCCATTCACTGCCATTATAAAGCTTGGAAGAGCCAGGATATTGTTTTTAATATAACTTCGATTTGTCTGGAAGAAGAAGGTCATATACACCTAGGATGGCTTGAGGGTGAGTAAATCATGGGGCAACTTTCATTTTTGGGGGAACTATCTCTTTAACTTGTATGTGAACTAAAATTTATATGAACTAAAATATATTTTAATGACGTTACAGTTACACTATAATATAATTAATTGTATTTGTAATTATATTTTTAAATAATAAAGTTGCAATTTGGCATATTTAAAATGTATTTCAACAATGTGTTAAAGTGTATTTTAATTAAACACGCTAATGAATTAAAAAAATGTAATCAGCGTTTAATCAGTGCTTTTTTTGGTACAGTCTTTTTATAAATTCTTTATTTTATTTTTGTACAGATATGACAGATACTAATTCTGAAGTGCACCGTAATAATATAGTGACTGCTATAACTCATATCTCACCAAATCTTGTTGATAGAGAATTTAATGCTTTTTAAATCAGAAAATATTTCGATTTAGTTAAAAAATCATTTCTGTAAGTAGACACCCTGCCAGCCCATCATCCTCATGCTTATTAGTATTCACACAAAATGTCCGCTTTTAATTAAACTTACAGTATGGGGAAGTTAAAGAAAAGAGACCATCAGTCAAAGCCGAGGAAAGATACACAGAGAGTTTTATCTTGAGAATCTGTCATCAGTCAACGTGAAGTTTTAACGTTAATGAGACTTTGCTAACTGACTTTTCATTTTCAACTTTCAGTTTTAAAGGAGGGCTGTATGGCAGAAGCTCAGCAGTGTCGACGATACAGTACTAATTCCAACTAAAAACAACAGGCCAATAGTAATAGTCATCAGATCAATAATAGGCCGATACATCGGTGCAACAACATGAGAATAAAATCCAAGAGACAGACTCGGTCAACACAGCAACATTCAATAACAGGAGCATTAAACAAGATACACAAAGACAGCTGGTCAGGATCGCATTAATCCTACAAATAAGACTTCACAAATGACCGTTGAAACAAAGGGAGCATTTAACGGTTGACTAATGAGCTCTAAATGCAACACAGGTGTGTGGTAACTATGGTAACGAGCTTCTGATAAATAGGGAATTCGAGAGAGGATGCCCCCTGTTGACTGTTAGGGGAACAACAGACATTTCCCTGACATCTACATAAACAAACGCAGTCATTTCAGAGGATACAGCTTTGTTGCTCTTGTACTATATGTAGCATTTCTTGGTTATTATCTAAATATATGTCATTTTCTAGACTCGGGAAGGTCCACTGAGATGAAATTAAAGTTATCAGCATTGTGAACAGAACAGAAACAGTCATTTAGCTCTTTTATCCAAGCAACCTCCAGCACACAAAGGCCCTTTCGCAAGCTTCAGTGCACCGCTTCAATGCAACACACAATGACAAGTTTGCTACGCACTTAGCAAGAAACTTCTATTAATCCTGGTAACACTTTCCAATAAGGTCCCGTTGTTAGTTAAGTTAATGCATTTACACTGACAACGAGCAATACATTTTGTTCGAGTATAATCATTGTTAATGTTAGCTAAAAATAAACAGTTTTTCAGTTGATGTTAACTCATGTCCATTAAATAATATTAACAGTTACAATTTTTAATCATGCATTAGTAAATGTTAAAATTAACATTATGAAGAATTTTTCATTGCAAGTTCATGTTAACTAATGTTTACTAATGGAACTTTACTGTAAAATGCTACCTCAATCATTTCTGGTTCATTTATTGAATAGCTTGATTTGACTGTACATTAAAAAAAAACACACAATTTAATCATTACTTAATGACTTTATGATTTGCAGTTTGTTTGTTCTGGCACAGCTGCAAGTTGAAAAATGACTTAAAATGACAAAACATTTATTCATTTATAATATAAGTATAATATGAAGGAGTTGTAACGTTCTTTTATGGTTCTACAGCTGTGCATTTCAAATGTATACTTTTCAAATTTTAGATTGTCAATATGTGAATTTTTTACGTTTTAGCATATATCCAAACATACACTGTTATTACACATAATTACATACAGTACATTATAAAAATATTCTTCAAAGTTGTAAATAAAACAGATTATTGGAACAAATTTTATAAGAAAATACTATTACCGTATTGGCCCGAATATAAGACGACCCCCCTTTTGCCAGATGTAACTTTTTGGAAAAAGGCTTTTTAAAAAGCAAATCTTGTTTTTTCTCAGTAAAACACATTTTGCCTTCAATTATTTTCATATTGCATATTTTTCCTATTTAAATTTTTGTTTTGAAAGTATGGTAAAAACTGGTCAAATGTACCAACAATCACATTAAAAAAATATACACTTTTTGATATACCATAAAAAAAAAACAGGTAGCCCATCTGAATTAGGACATTTAGGCTATCCATCTAATAGTAGCCTACCAAAATTTTATTAACAGAAGAAGTTAAATCTTACTGTAGACTTAAAATCTGGGTACTGTCTTACGTTTTAAAATCACAAAGGGAGTTTTGTCCCATCAGGCTAATGTGACAGTCACGACTCATGCATATACATCTTTACATGTACTTTCCTAATTGCATCTGTTGTATTTGAAATATGGTTAAAAGGAAAGTTCACCCAAAAATTGAAAATGACCCCATGATTTACTCACCCTAGGTGTATATGACTTTATTCTTTCAGATGAATACAATTGGGGTTATATTAAAAGATGTCCTGGCTCCTCTAAGCTTTATAATGGCAGTGAATGGAGGTTGAGATTTTGAAGCCCCAAAAAGTGTGTCCATCCATCATAAAAAGTGCTCCACACGGCTCCGGGGGGTTAATAAAGGCCTTCTGAAGTCACTCTCCTGTGAACACGTGTAAGACAGTTAGCGGAAGCTAGAGATTACAGTTTATAAAGTTTTAAATATGGATATTTTTCTTACACAAACCCATTGATTCACTTCAGAAGGCCTTTATTAACCCCCCGGAGCCGTGTGG